CAGCACGCAGAATCAATTTACCACTATGCACATCAATAAGCGCCTTGGCGGTGGCGAGAAACGGTCTACCCAAAATCAAAGGCACATCCACATCCTCATTTATATCCAAAATAACAAAATCAACAGGATATGTGAATGCACCAACATTAACAAGCAAGTCCTCAATGATACCCCTAGGATGCACGATAGATCGATCAGCTAACTGAATGCTCATCCTAGTAGCTCTAGGTTCACCTAGGTCTAGCTTCTTAAACAGTTTATAGGGCATGACATTTATACTAGCGCCTAGGTCCGCCAAGGACTTTCCTACATGCATGCTGCCAATAACAAGAGGGATAGTGAAACTCCCTGGGTCTTTGCGCTTCTCGGGCAGCTTGTTCTGCAGGATGGCAGAACACTCCTCGCTGAGCATCACTGTCGAGAGATCCCCAAGTTTCTTCTTGTTGGTGAGGAGGTCCTTCATAAACTTGGCATACTTGGGCATCTTCGACAGTGCCTCCACGAACGGCATGCTGATGTTTACCTGCTTCAACATTGCCATGAACTTGGCAAACTCTGTCTCCAGCCTGTCTTTATGAAGTCTAGTGGGGAAGGGCAACTGGGGTGTATGCTCCTTAATCACAGGTTGTGGCTTGGGAGCAGGTGGTGCGCTGCCTTCCTCCCCTTCTGCAGTATCAGCTGGAGGTGTTGAAGCAGGTAGTGGTTCGTCTTGCCTGGGCTGGGCAGGAGCAGCAGATATGGTCTTACCACTCCTGGTGGTGATGGCATGGGCAGTCTCGTGAGGGTCGCGAGGATTGGGGACAGTGGTGGCAGGCAGAGTCCCCGGTGCCCTGGTAGTGTTCTGGCGAGCTAAGCTCCCTATCTGGTGCTGGAGATCCTGCAGAATGGCACCCTGATTCCTCTGTCCTGCCTCCAGTGAGGCTACACTCTGGTCCAACCTCGTGATAGTCGCCTGAGTGCTCGTCATGAATGAAGCTAGAATATTTTCCAGCTTCGTCATCTGAGTATCTGGAGCTGGAGCTGCTGTTGGCTCGGCAAACTGGCGCTGGGGCTGTTGGAAGGGTTGCCCTTGTCGAGGCTGGTAGGGCTGCTGCTGTGGAGCTGGCCCCTGTCGAGCCTGGTAGGGCTGCCTCTGCTGAAAGCCACCAGCTGGTGCTGGGAAACCAGGTGGCTTAGCGGTGTTGCCGCCCCAAGAGAAGTTGGGATGCTGGCGCCACCCCTCATTATATGTGTTGTTGTACGGGTCGAGGCGCCGAGCATTGGCGATGAAGTCCAACTGCTCTTGGAGAGTAGTAGACTCCCTCATAGCCTGGCAGTCTTCCACTAAGTGATTCGAGCTCTCACACCACTGACATTGGGCAACTGGAGGTGTAGCCAAACTTCTGCCCGGAATAAGACTGTTGGGCTGCTTCAATGTCTGCACTAGCTCAGCTACCTGCTGCTCGAGCCCGGATCTGGTCTCCATGGCGTGCACACCACGGTCCCTGGAATGTCTGCCTCTGCTGCTCTGCCCCCAGGAATGATCTCTGGCAGCCAATGTGTTAATCATCTGGTTCAGCTCGGGTGGAGTCTTAGTGAGAACATCCCCTCCTGGGCATAAAGACTCAATCACCCTCTGGCTATCTGGGGAGAGAGCGCTGTAGAAGTTCCCCACTGTGAATGCATCACTAAAGCCATGATGGGGACACTGCCAGAAATATCCCATGTACCGCTCCCAAGCATCTCGAAGTGACTCATCTGGCTCTTGGCGGAAGTGAGTGATCTCCCGCTGTATCTCTGTAGTCTTCGATGCCGGATAGTACCTGTGCACGAATTTGTCAGCCAGATCGTCCCAAGAGGTGATGGACAATAGGGGCTGGGTCTCCAACCACCTCTTAGCATTCCCCGCCAGAGAATGGGGGAAGAGATGAAGGCGGATCGCATCATCCGGGACACCATTCAGCTTGAACCCGTTCGTCAGCTGCAGAAAACGGGACAGATGTACCCTGGCCTCCTCATCCTTCAAGCCATGGAACTGGATAGAAGATGTAATGAGCTGAATCCAGCATGGCCTGATCTCGAAGTTGTTTGCTGGGATAGGCGGGTAGAGGATGACCGGGCGGATGTCAGCAATCCGCGGAGTATAGAAGTACTCCAAGGTGGGACCCGGTGGTGGTGGATGATGATGGCCAGCTCCCTGGGGGTTTGGGTCGTTCCCCAGGATCTGGTTCTGAGGAGGCGGGTTCTGATCGCCTTCCATCTCGTGCTCTTCCTCGGAGTCGCTGGTCAAATGGCCGTCTCGGCGCTCCACCGTAGCCAATCTAGCTTGCTGTTGTCTCCGAAGTTGTTTGCAGGTGCGCTCAATCTCAGGGTTCAACGGCAGTAAACCTCCCGACTGGCTACGGGTCATGCACTACCTGCACACACTCAAGCAAGCAAACCCGTGAAGGCACAAGAGGGACAAAGCAAACAAAGCAAAAAGAAAAGCTAAATTAACAGAAATCACTTTTCTTCAACAACCTAGCCGTCCCCGGCAACGGCGCCAAAAACTTGACTCGACTCTACTGTCACCCTAGGAATTGGCCAAGTGAAACCACTTCCTAAAGCGTAGTATAGCGGGTTAGGTTTATATGTCAACCCGGGTCCTAGATTTGCTGACTACTCAGTGAGTTCTTGTTATCTAGCAATAAAACTGGAGTGCAAGTCTAAACTACCAAACAAACAAAGCAAGTAAACTGGTTGTATTCAGGTTAAAGAGGTCACCCGGATATGGTTCCCCCTAGACTGTAGTTAAGCCGGATTGTAATTACCAAGTTCAGTTTCTATGAAGATTATACTGCGGAAGGTTCTTAAACAGTCTGAAGTCTCGACTAAAGGTCTTCAGACCCTCTCAATCTGACTCTCTAGCGGGCGACTAACCTCCACCGGAGTCGACAGATTGAGGCCCTAAGAACAAAACCTCCACTACCGGAGTAAATCCGGTACAGAATAGTGAGTTGGCTCCTCGACTAAAGTCACCAACTCCCTACCTTCAATCAAGGATACTCTATTAACCTAGGCAGATATTCTCATTCTAGGTTAAAGCAGAAACAACAGGAATTTGATCAGGATTCAAGTCATTCAATCATAAAACCTCAATCGAATATAATCAATCACAGAATCAGTACTTGGGTTCATACAATCGAAGCCTAACATACAAATCTAGGGTTCTCCATACCCAGATGAATGGGAGAACTACTCCATGGAGAAGAAAGCAAAAGCAGAATCAGACACGGAATTCATACTGCGAAGGATGGATTCCTGCTTCTGGACGTTGATTGACACTTCTCCAAGCTCAAACTGGCGTCCAATGGTGTTGAAGATCAATCTAGGGCACTTGGGAACTCTTGCTCGTCACTTTCTCTCTCTAGGAACTGATCCCTCTCTCAAAAACTCGAATCCCCTCTCAATTTGGCTGAAATCTGCTTATAAACCGGGTTTCCCCGACTTGCACGGCCAGGGTGCACGGCCGTGCACATCACCATTCTGGCCGTGCACCCTCAAAACGCGCCGTTTCACTTAATCGACCTCAGCCATCTTGCACGGCCAGGTGCACGGCCGTGCAAGTCTGGCTTGTGCCCGTGCAAGCTCTCGCACCAACCCGCACGGCCAAGTTTGTATGTTGCACGGCCGTGCGGTTCTCTGCTCTGCCCGTGCGTGGCCTCGGCATGAGGCGCACGGCCATATGGTGCAAGTGCACGGCCGTGCGTCTTCATGGCCTGGCCGTGCGGCTCCCCAACAAGCTCGCCCTTCGTCCGTTTGTCGTCCAATCGACCCCAGACTCGCTCCTAAGCCTTCATCCACGTACTAGGACCTGAAATAACACAACCAAGCACAACCTAGCGTGAAATCGGCCTAAAACACGAGAATCAACACCTCAAACGGTGTAAGTATGAGGGTAAAAACATGTGTAAATGACGGTCTATCAAGCATGGACCAGTAGAAGCTTAATCGTAGCATCTTTCGCGTCGTGCGGTTTCCTCCATGAGGACCACCAGCGGGTTCCTCGTGATAGTGAGACAAGATGTCTCCCATCTCATGCTCCATCACGCATCATCTTATAACGCCATCGTAGCATCTTTCGCGTATTGGATCCTACCACAAATAATACTTTAGGTTGGAGAAGAATTTACACTTAGCGTGAGTGGTCGTCCCCTTAGGTAACTGCTTTCTCACCAGAAAATTGGCAAGATCAGACTACCAAAGGGTGACACTCTCCAACAAGCACAACGCCAGTAGTCGCTCATCTGGGAAGGATTCGTTGTTCTCTTCCACGAAATTGTCCACCGGAGAGGTGTCCAACCGTGGAAGATGATATGCAACAATGTTCTCTGTTCCTTTCTTGTGCCGAATCTCAATGCCAAACTCCTGCAGCAGCAGAATATAGCGGATGAGCCGAAGCATGGCATCAGCCTTGGTCATCAAGTAGCGGATGGCAGAGTGGTTTGTGTAGACCACGACATGAGAGAGTACCAGGTAAGGTCGGAACTTGTTAAAAGCATACACCACTACAAGAAGCTCCTTCTCTGTGTTAGTGTAGTTCTCTTTCGCATCGTCCAAGGTCTTCGATACGTAGTAGATGGGCTGGAAATTTTTGTCGCATGTCTAACCAAGAACAGCTGCGACAACATAGTCACTCGCACCGCACATTAGCTCAAATGGTAGAAACCAATCCGGAGTCACCATGATGGGGGCATGTTCAAGGTCTCAAATGCATATGTGCACTTTGGAGTGAAATAGAATGGTGCATCCTTCTCTAGCAGCTTGGTCAAAGGCAAGGCGCTTCGAGAAATCCTTAATGAGTCTCCGATAGAAGCCTGCGTGATCGAGAAAGTTGCGGATCCCCTTCACAGAAATAGGAGAAGGTAGCTTAGACTATCCACAATGGTGGAAGGGGAAAAAAGAAAAAAAGGATGGGAAAAGTGGGATAAAAAAATTATCCCCAAATTAAATAAAAACTTATATCAGAATTTTTGTCTTAATTAATTAATACTAATTGGGGCCCTCCCTTCACCACCCCCATGGGGATGGTCTACAGGGTTCATAACTACTCCTCTTACTACAGGACGCTTGCCTAGCCAACATTTAGATCCGGCTCTACCCAAACTTTTCTGGTTCACCCCAGCATTCCCTACTTGTCCGACTGTTGCTGAGCAGTTTTTGGATATTAAACGCACCTCCCCAGAAGGTAATTTTAATGTGGCCGATTTCCCCTCTTTTGCAATAAGTTTCGCTACAGCACCTGCAGCTCTAGCTAATTGTCCACCCTTTCCAAGTGTGATTTCTATGTTATGTATGGCCGTGCCTAAGGGCATATCGGTTGAAGTAGATTCTTCTTTTTGATCAATCAAAACCTCTTCCCAAACTGTACAAGCTTCTTCCAAAGCATACGGCTTTCCGGGTGTAGATGATATCTATACAGATGGAGCCTATATATCGTAAAATGAAGTAAAGTACTCCATGAGTGGATATATAGGAATCAAAATCTGTCGAATCAGTCATGTTATGCTCTTCTACATCCTAGGTCTTCCCATTCCTTAATCTGGCTTATTGATGACTCGGTATTTGCACATGTTTTCCCCTTTTGTTTCTTGATTGTTTGAGCTTGAATTACCATGTCTTTGACTGATTTTACGCTAGGTTGTGTTCCTTTGTCACATTTCAGGTCCTAGCACATAAAGTGAAGCATAGGCGCAAGTTTCAAGTCAATCAGAGATCAATTGACGATTTGGGAGAAGACACTCGGGCATGACCTGAAGAAGAATGGATTTCTACCTCACTTTATGGACAGAGAATCATGCAAGCTTGTTATGAAACAAAAGAGGACGAGACTACGAGTGTCTGGGATCAAACGGCGACTGATTCGGAGTCCGGACGAGGGAGAAACGAAGCATTAAACAGAGGCTGAGCAAGCTGCACGGGCAGACCAGGAAGGCGCACGGCCGTGCAACATATAATTCTGGCCGTGCGGGATTGTGCGTGGGCACGCACGGGATTGTGCGTGGCCACGCACGGCCGTACAAGTGACCGTGCGTGGCCACGCACGGCCGTGCAACATACAATTTTGGCCGTGCGGGTTGGTGCGTGGGCACGCACGGGCACAAGTGAAATCCGCACGGCCGTGCAAGGTGCAATCCTGGCCGTGCGAGTTGGTTGAGGTTCGACTTATTGATACGCCGCGTTTTGAGGTGCACGGCCAGAATGGTGATGTGCACGGCCGTGCACCCTGGCCGTGCGAGTCGGGAATTGTTGTTTAAAACCCGATTTTCAGCGAAAGGAAAGGAAGAGAGCTGGGTTTTGGTTCCCAAACACCCAAGGGACGAACCCTAGAGAGAGAGCGACTTGGAAACATTCTTGGAGCTATTTTGGAGGATTTCTTCGCCATTGGAGCTCGGGAATCAAGCTTGGAGATGGAGATTGAAGATCTAGATCAGATTTCTGCAGTTTCTCTCTTCTCTATGGAGTAACTTCCCTTCACTTAGGTTTTGAGGAACCCTAGTTCCATGAGTTAGGATCTTTCTTGTATGAAGTTTTGGATGCTATAGTGTTTGATTATAATCGATTGAGGCATGATTTATTGAGTCAATTGGATCTTGATCAAATTCTCTTGATTTCTGCTTTAACCTATGATAGATAGAATCTGATTAGGTTAAGAGAGCTTCCTTGATTGATAGTAGTGAGTTGGTTGTGCGAGAGTCAATCAATTCACTGCTTTGTACTGGAACTCATTCCAGTAGTGGAGATCTGTGTGAATCGCCTTAGCAGTCTATCCCGGTGAAGGCTAGTCACCTGCCGGGTATTCCAAGCTAATTTAGGATCTTCCGCAGTTTAATCAACAGTAGATCAACCAAAGGTAATTGCAACTTGGACCTAATTGAGGAGCTAGGGGGAATCATACCTAAGTGAGTTCCCAACTTGTAATTAGTAGAGTAGTTAGTAGAGTAGTTTAGTAAATCAATCCTTAATCTAGTTTGCTAGATAATGAACTGAAGCTGAGTAATAGTAACTCTAGAGACCCGTGGATTCGATATTTATTACTTGTGCCACTATACTGCAGTCCCTTTCATTGGTTGCACTTGGCCATTGTTAGGTGTTGTGTTTTAGCGTGTCACTTATGTGACCGGACTATTTCCCACCCCTAGCAGGTTCACCACCTCCTCTTTTCTTCCTCTTTTGTTGATCTCGGCCTTCGGGAAGATTGAGCACTCTTGGAGCAGCAACTGCATGAAGACCGGGGTCATCAGGTTCATCACTTGACATAGCCGATTGAGATCCATCCATTGGTGGAATGGGCGCAACAGGAGCATAAAATTGTTGCATAAATCTTGGACACTCTTGGAGTAGTTGCCAACATTATTCTAACTTCCAGTCTTTCTTCGTGTCCGCCTTGAAAATATCTTTACCGTGACGGGTCTACACAATTAATTAGAAAAAAATACACATGATTAAAACATAGAACACTAAAATTATACCATTAATTAAATATAGATGTTTTAGAAGTTGACTAACCACATCTACTTGGTTAGTTCCGCTCGGTGGATTAGCATTTGCTTCCCTCAATGTTGCATACCACTTCTGACATTAATGGTTGATAAACTGCCATAGAGTCTTCAAGGCGCCATTGGTACGATTGATCACAAACCATTTGTAGAATATCGATCTCCAATTCTTTTCCTGAAAGATGGTGAAGATTGGTAATGACCGATAATAGGATCTTGTGAAACTTCCATTCAAGCTTGGCACAAAACAAGGTCTTCAGGCGTTGTGCAATTTCGATTGCGCTCGCTGCCGGAATAAGCCATGATTACGATTATAGAGAGTTTGGGAAGAATATAATTTTTTGTTTGGATGGTAGGAAGAGAGTTTGAGAAGTGTTGGAAGAAAGTGAAGAATGAATTCTACTTATAGAGCTGAAAAAATATGGTCGTTGGAAAAATAGCCGTTGGAAATATGGCGGATGTAGAATATGGCCGTTGGCCAATAACTCCTTAAAAACCAATAAGAAAACCAATCAACCATTTTTTTAAAAGAAAAAAAACAAAAAAACAAGTCCCCACTTCCCCTCCTTCTTTTAACTTCAAGCGAATGGTTTTCCCTTCCCCACTTCCTTTTTTTTCCTTTTTATCCTATCCTATTGTGGGGATTTCTCCCATTTTTTCCCCTTTTCCTTTTCAGTGATTCTTTTCAATTTCCGATTCATCAGGTCGGCTTGACCATTCGTTTGGGGATGGTAAGCCGCCGACACCTTATGCTTAACATCATAGGGAGAGAGGAGTCAAGTGAATTGCCCTTGAAAATGAGTTCCTCTATCGCAAATAATGGCTCGAGGTGTCCCGAACTAGGAAAAGAGCTGCTTCAGAAACGAGCAGACATGTCTTGCATCAATTGTGGGCATGTCCTGAGCTTCTTCCCACCTCGAGACGTAATCCACAGAAACCAAAATATATAGATTAATGAATGAAGGAGGGAAATGACCCATGAATTCGTAGGAACAAGTTTCAAGTCAATTGAAGATCAATTGGCGACTCGGGGGGAAGAAACTAGGGTACAACTTGACTAATAATGGATTTCTATCTCAGTTTGTGACCATAGAATCATGTAAGCTTGTCATGAAAAGAAAGAGGACGAGACTATGAGTGTCTGGGATCAAACGTCACCTGATTTGGAGTCCGAACGAGGGAGAAACGAAGAATCAAAGATAGGGGACCCGGAACTGCACTATACCCGACCAAAATACCCGACCGGGTATTTTGACCATCTGATAGGGTCTTTTTGACAGCATCAGAAGGCCCCCCGGTCGTGAACCAAAAATACCTGGCCGGTTACCCAAAATACCCGACCGGGTCGCGAACGTAGGCTGTTAAAAGCCTGTTTTGTGCGTTTTTGGAGGGGGAGAGCTGGGTTTTGGATCCCAAACACCCAAGGGATGAACCAAAGAGAGAGAGAGAGAGAGGACAATTTGAGGGCATTCTTGGAGTGGAATTGGAGGATTTCTTCACCTTGGAAGCTCGAGGAACAATCCCGGACTTGAAGAATGATCATCTGAATATTCTTACTGCAGCCTCTCTCTTCTTTATGGAGTAACTTCCCTTCACTTAGGTTTTGAGGAACCCTATCTATGTTTGTTTGTTTGGATGATTGTATGAGTCCTCCTACTTGATAATCTTGAGTTCATATTCAATCTATGCATGTTTTCGTGATTCAATTCTGCTTTACTTGAGATTATTGATTCTGCTTTGATCCTATGAGAGCGAATACCTGATTAGGTCAATAGAGCACCATAGATTGATAGTATTGGACCGATTGCTTTAGTCGAGGGTCGATTCACTGCTTTGTATCGATTGAGAACCTCATTCGATAGAGGGAGTCTAGTTCAGAATGCCTTGATAGGTTGTTCTAGAGAAGGATACGTCCCTCTAGGGAATCGACTCATGAGGGCCTTCGTCCTTTAGTCGAGATTCAAGGTCTAGTCAAAGATTCTCCGCATTGTGAATGAAAGTGAAACAAGTTAGAAATCATCAATATGGCTAGTGGCTAGGGGGAATCATACCTAAGTGAGTTTTAGTTCTTCCATTTTAATCTAATTTGCTAGATAATGAACTGAAGCTGAGTAATAGTAACTCTAGAGACCCGTGGATTCAATATTTATTACTTGAGCCACTATACTGCAGTGCCTTTCATTGGTTACACTTGGCCATTGTTAGGAGTTGTGTCATAGCGAGTCAAGTTTTTGGCGCCGTTGCTGGGGACTTTCTAGATTATTAGGAAAGGCAGAAGTTTGTTACTTTAGCGTTTTTGTTTCCTTTTCCAGCCTTGCTTTTCACTTGGGTGTTTTTGTTTTTGTTGGTGTAGATCTGAATCATGGATCCTCATGGCTTCTCCAACCATTGGAAGTATCCACCACCGTCCGAGTGGTATTATCCCGAGACTTCTTGGAGCAATCAAGGAGGAGAAGACTATGGATTCGGGTTCCAATACCAACCCCCTTACTATGGAGGACAACCGGACCCTTGGACATTTCAAGAATAGTATCCTTAAGAAGAAGAATTCCTCTCACAACCAGAAGGGCCATCAGAGCTGGAGTTAGACATGGCGGCCTTCACGGGCCATTCTACAGAGCCATGCTACACTCCACGACCAGATCCAAACTATGAATTGAGGCTTCTCGTGGACCAGTTTGTTCGGGACACCGAGAGACGCAATCGCAAGATGGACCTCCTTTTCCCATCTTTTGATCCTCCTAACTCTTCATCCCTTCGTGAATCGGAGGAGAGTGTTCGCACTCAGCAAAGCAAACAGAGCGGGTTGAGAAAGTTTGTGCACAACTTGCTCAAGATCACCCTTTTGCTACCATACCATAAGAGGAGGAGGAAGACGAAGGCTACAAGAACATTGTGGAGAAAACAGAAGTTGT